TCTCCATAGATCATCATCTGAGCTTGAGGTCAAATGCACCAACAAAGAGTACATAGTTTGTGAGGACTATGCAGGCCAGAAATGGGAGTCTGACAGGAGTACAGTCCTAGGAATTGGCTCCTGAAAATAAAAGAAAAAAATGTTACTGAAGGGGCCTGTTAAGTAAAAATTGGGTAACACTTGGAAGAAAAGATCAAAATCACCAACATATAAATTATGAGTATGATAATATCATTCATGTTTTGATTCTTGCCATTTCTTTTAGCACATGCAGATGATTGTACATACTACTTTCACCAATACGTTGTCAAGCACTTATAGCAATATATGCCAGGAAGCAAAATTTTCAGTCTTGTTAGGCAGACATAATGCCAGAAAGAAGGGATTAGATAATACCTTGGAAAGCAAATGCAAAAAGTCATTTATTAGGGAATATATTAAAATGGGGTCTGTGTGGACTATTTGACTTTCTCCCTCACCGATTCTGTAACTAGTGGATTGAAGCCTTATTAAGAGATAACACTGAAATACCCATCCATTCCCCATTTGCCATGTTTGGATGAACACCCTTTTCTTTTTCAGATTTAAACAATACTATTATTTATTTTTATTTCATTTGGTTTGTCAATTGCTTACAAGATAACATATTCTTCTGAAAATAGAAGCTCTCTGTGCATCTTATACAACCTCCGAAGTTAAATTTTGTGATATTGAGAGCCCTCCCCTGACAACACTATTGAATTTTGGTGACTCAGTTGCTTGAGACAGAAAAACAGCACACAAGTATATAAGTCCTAAAATAGACAACATAGCCTTTTAAAAAATCCTCAAAAAAGAAAAAAAAATAGACCATTCCAGTCATGTTCAGATGGAATGAAACATCCCTATCTTTTCACCTTCCCGATTGCATCCCTTGGGCCACTTAAATAATGCTAAATGCAGATCCTAGTCACCAAAAAATAGCCCACTTATACAAAAAAGCAGGAAGAAAATACATGATTTTGCTTGTTTTGTCCTGCTGAAAACTATAACTCTGCTATTCTAGGAAACCTGCCTAGAATTCCACTTTTGGAAGAATTATTTTGAAAATTCTGGATTTATATTTTCTTTCTACAGTATTACTTGTTCTTTGTAGATGAACTAGTAATTAGTTTCTTGTTCACCAAATGGGATTATACAGTGTGGAATGCAATATAGCCTTTGCTATAAATCTTTGCCCTAAAAAAACAATCCACTATCAGGATTAAGATTACTATTCCTCTATATATTTTTTCCCATGTGAAAATAACTGAGCTGGTCTCCCAAGAGACATAGATGTTAACAAGCTGCCTAAGGTAATAGGTATTCCTCATCAGCTTTACTCCTTGGGCCTAACTAAAATAGAGATACAGATGGAGAAATCCAGGGTCAAGCTAAAAATATGCAATGCCTTAATATAGCCATTTTATTTTGCTATTGCTCAAGGGGGCATTTTCCTCACTTGCATTTTAAAAGTTGCATATTTCCGTTGATGGCATGGTCACACAACTGTTCATTTATTGCCAAAGCCTGGAAAAATATGGTTTCTAGCTGTATTTCCTTCTCTTTCTCCCGGATATGTAGAAAATTAAAAGCAAGCTTGTCCCTAATAGAACAATGGCATTGTAATTATTTTTGCTTTGTAGTTAAAACAGGATTTGTATAGCCTTATTCTTTGGAATTGACTTTCTGTCCTCTCAGACTCTAGGATAATTCCAAGTGGCAGGCAGGTAACTTTTTAACTGTTATCTAAAGTATTATATGTTTCTCCTTAATTTCTTCACATAATCTCTTTCAAATGTAAACAAATATATTTCTGCATCTAGGAATTGATCCTGTTTAGTTCGGAACTGTTTCATCCTACTCTTTTAAGGGAAAGAATTACTGAGCAACTCTTTTCAGAATTAAAAAGCATCCAATTTTATGTGATCAATGCTGTGTCCCAGTTTATGCTTCCATGAAAGAACTAGGAAGTTAGAAAACGATTAGCCTTCACTCAATTTGAGTCTTCCAAGTATTTCCAATTCCCATAATTCCAAATTTGGGAAAGAGGGATTGGGCTAATAATGACTAATCAGAAATGTTTTTACCTATTCATTAAACCAATAATGAGTAATGTTTTATGGGTAGAAGCCACACCTGAGTTTCTTAACCTATTAGTGGGCCACAAGTCTTCTGGTGATACAGTGATTTCTTTTTTTTAAATATAATTTCTGAGTTTAGAAGGAAGAGTCAGAGTGAGGATGGGAATGTTTCCTCTATAAAAACTCTTGTATTGTCTTTCCTATTGTCTTAGTTCTGTCTTAGGTTGTTTTTGAAAATCACCAAGCCTAATTTGGTGGTATGAATTTATGTCTGTTGGGGAGCTTTGAGGCTGCTTATCCCACCATTTAATTATATATGGTTCATCTACTGTATGTGCATGCAGGTCCCTGTTTTGTGGCATGTTTTAATGCAAGCAAAGTGCCGCTTTTTGAAATAGTAAAGGTTGTCTTTCCTTGTCTGTGCAGGCAGAGACAATGCTTCCGTTAGGGCTGTCATCAAAGAAACTGTACAAACACATATATTTGTACAGTCTGTCAGCTGGAGGCCACAAAGTGGCTCCACCAGCCTTGCAAAGGTCACAGATGCTTTAACATTTCAGGAACAAATGTTCCACTAACACATTTTTCAAAGCTTCTCTTTCAACTGTTCTTTATAGTCCTGCTTACATGCATTCATTATCATTTCATCACAAAAAGGGATTACTGTGTTAAATCAATAAAAATGTTGCTTATATGCCTACGTACCAGTATATGTCCATACAAATATCATGCTGTGATGCTGTTTACTTTCCAAGTAAGAGCAAAGTTATGGAGAGTGCAGAAATGGAGGGAAAAAAATAAGGTGACATAATAAAAGCATGAGATAAACAGAAAAGGAAACAGCTAAATGTAGCTTGTACAATAATCATTCACGATATTTCTTAATGGCTTACTATCTTTATTAATCATTCGTGCTTTTTTACATCCATACTCTGCTTCATACAATACCTTTTGTTCTTTACAATTCTTACTTACCTCTTTTTTGAGTGTCATACTTTTGGTCTTCCTCTTTCACTCCACCCATTAATTCCTTTATATATTTATTTTGTGATTCAATCCTCATCTGTTCTCTATGACCAAGCCACCTCATTGTGTTTCTTTCATATTAGTCATTCATTTTTTTATCGAATCCAACTTCATCCAGGGTCTTTTCATTCCTGTCCATATCTTTTCTTGCTTTAAAAGACACATTTCCTAATTACCCTATTCCTGCTGCATCCAGCTTATTTTTATACTTTTGCTAACATACCCAACTTTACATATTTAATATATAAAGTTAGGCATGTTAAATATTATTAAACAATAAAGAATCATGAGTCTGGATTCCTACTTTCATATACACTTACAGCTTAGATGACATCAGAATATTTTTCTTAAAAATAATAGTCTTTCACCCCCCAGCCCGCCCCCAACCCCCCACCCCCCCAAAAAGACTTGAAGATAGACAGTTTGACATATATTTCTACTTTTACATTTTTAAAAGTAGACATATAAATTGTTCATTCCCTTTTGCAGCACATGTTTTAAAAGTAAAATTATGGAAACCAACTTCTTCACTAAGTTTACTGTCACTGTTCTTTGATATGCAGTTCTGATGATTCACAAATGAAAGAATTACTTGTTGATTTTCTGTGAGCGTTTTAAAATATCTTAATAAATATCTGTCCTGAAATCCAAGCAAAGGTTCATTTTCTCAAATATCTTTATTTCTTTTTGTTTAGATTATATGGTATTAAAATGTAATAGAAGGAGTGCATGCACAGTATTTAGACTAGATCCTATTTCCCTTTAAAAAGTTTAACATGGAGTTGCATATAAATAGAGCCTGTATCCTTGCTATTCTGGCATAAATAGCACTAACAGATTAAAGACAGAAATAAAACAGTTAAGGTTCAGAATTGATTTGCATTTTGGAGCCAGGAGATTGTTAGTGAGCTTTTTTTTTTAATTATTGAAGACTTTTAAAAAGATTTTTAAATTTGGTTTTGAGAATATAGACCCAGATTAATCAGATTGAAGATGTGACATATTGGTAACTAATGAATTTGAGATATTGCATAAGTGACTATATTTTGCATACAGTTTAAATCTTTAGGCATAATATTAGCAGAATTACTACTCTACATTTTTTATTCATGCATGAGTCTAACCTCATGAGACATTAATTTAATGGTGCCATTGCTATCAAGACTTCATATTTGTTGTATGAATTGGCAATTTAAGAAGGTTTAGATTGTCCAGTATTCTGTTCTCAGTGTGTAGTCATGTACTTCTGGGGACTCACAATCACAATTTGAATCCATCACTTTGGCTTCAGTAACTGATATTCAGTATTTGACTGTGTAGCTTGGGAAGTGTTATGTCTATCCCTCATGATTAATAGTTATAGAAAAAAAAATTATTTTAAATTTAGCTACACTTAGATTGTTTTAATAACCCAGGATAACCTGGGTATTTCTGCTCTTATTATGCTAGTGTTCATTGCAATGAAAATATCTCCAAAGGTTCAAATAAGGCTTTTTAGCATATTTATTGTTAAGAAAATTTTGTATATAAACCCAGGAGGAATGAGAGAAATTACAAATCAGCTGTCCCAGCCCAATGTCTTCCAATTATTTGGAACTGCAATTGCATACCATCTTTAATGGGAATTTCAGAAATTATCATCCAACATGTTTATAGATACACATGCTCATCATATTCTGTATCACTTTAATTTTGGGATATGGCTCAGAAACACATCATCTGTTACTTAAATGATTGCTATGTTATTACTTTAAATTCAGTTATTGTTAATCAAAGATATGCTGAACTGGAGGTGTCTTCCTATCGTGTATTAAGTTCCCAACAGTAATTCTTCTCTGAAGAATATCACATGCCATGTCTTCATTTCCCTAGGAATATATTGATGCTCATCCTGAAACTATAATTCTGGATCCTCTTCCTGCTATCAGGACATTACTGGACCGATCAAAGTCTTACGAACTTATTAGACAGATAGAACTGTATATGAAAGGTAAGCCTCTAACCTTTTTATTGGGAGACTAAAAGCAAGTTGTGGGTTAGTAAAATTTAGCTACTTTAGATTTGTGGTTGCATATGGATAAATACACTCCTACTAAAAGAAAATTGTTTATATCTCCAAGAAATACCACAACTGGGGGGACTAAAAAATAGTCTGTTGTTACAGCCTCAAACCCTCACAGCTTCAATCTCAAGCTGTATACCGTGGACCTCACCCCATTCTTAAGAAATCCTGAAAGGGGGCATACATAAGCACACCAGCGTGCCTACCATCCTTGCCTTACTGTCCCCATTTATCTGTATTTACTTCCTTTGTTCATGTTTATGTTCATGCCTATACTTGTTATCTTGTACCTGTTTGACAAAATAATTAAATAATTACATAAATATAGATAAAGAATATCCAATAATACATTTTACATACATACATACACACACATACATACCTACCAGAAAAAATGAATATAATAAGATATGAAGATAAATAAGAACATATAAAATAAATTCCGTTTAAAATGGCATCACTGCTCAACACTGTCCAAATGTAAAGTAAGTTATTGCAATAGACTTTGGACTGGACAAATATGCCACCCTTGCTATCAACAGAGGTATGATACTAAAAATTTAAGAAATCAAAATGTTCTGTGGAAATAACATCAGATCTGAATGAAGAAGATAATTACAAATATCTGAGTCTCCCTCAGGCTGACAACAAAGTCAAGAACATTAGTAGTTCATACAACACAAGAGTGAAGATCTTAAAGTCCAGACTCAGTGGTGGAAATGTCATTCAATTCCAGTCATTTGATAACAGCTGGAAAATGGACTGGACTCAAGCAGAACTAAAAGATCTGAATAATAAAACCAGAAAAATAATGACAGTGAATCATGCCTTTCATGCAGGCAGAGATGTTGACAGTCACTATTTACCAAGACACATAGGTGGGTTTGGAGTGTTGCAACTACATCAGTCAGTTGAAGAAGAAAGAAGGACAGAAGAACAATGTCTGAAGGACATACTGAAGCTAGTATATCAGAAGGGGTTACTGAATAGTGGGAAGACCAAACTGGCCTACAAGAAACAACCAAGCAGAGAATAGCAATAGCACTTAGACTTATATACCGCTTCATAGTGCTATACAGCCCAAGTAGTTAACAGAGTCAGTATATTGTCCCCAACAATCTCGGTCCTCATTTTACTTACCTTGGAAGGATGGAAGGCTGAGTCAACCTTGAGCCAGGCTCAAGAAATCGAACTCCTGGCAATATGAGCAGAGTTAGCCTGCAGTACTGCATTCTAACTACTGCACCACCACCGCTTTTATAGAATAGGAAAGTGTCATGGCAACAAAAATTTATTACATGATCAGTATATATAAAAAAAAAACAGCAGACAAAGCAGATAACAAGACCTGGCAATGGCTAAGAGCAGGAAAGTTGAAGAAAGAGACAGAGAAGCTAATTCTGGATGCGTGAGATCAAGCCTTAAGAACAGATAAGTGTAAAACTAGAATTGAGAAAACAGAAACAGTGGCTCTCCCCTAACAATGAGGAGACTGTGAGTTCAATCCTAGGTAGTGGCAGATATTTTCTCTCTGAGCGCAAAGAGAAAATTTCTGCTGTGAGCTCCACATAGGCGTTGGGAAGGGCATCTGGCCAGTAAATGCTCAGCTCCATTCAGTTGCCCTGATTCCACTCTGATGCAAGGGAGGTCGTTCGCGCGCGCGCACACACACACACACACACACACACACACACCTGTCCCAGGACCTTGGGAAAGATTCAGTTGGTAGAAAAAATGCCAATCCAGTCTAAATATCTGGCTGACTGTGTGACCAAAAGGGTTATTTGTTCAGAGTTGTAAAGAAAAACAATTAGCATGATATAAAGATGAATAAGACTATATATAATAAAATGAAAGTAGTATTATAAAACCCCTAATGCAACATTTTCCACCTTGGTCTGTTGGGCCTACAATTCTCAGAGTACCTGTTCAACATGGTCTTTGACATTTCTAATATAGTAGATATTTTTGAAATATGGAAATTTCTGTGATTTAAGTATATAATTAATTTACACTTTGAAATGCTGTAATCTTACATATTTATTTTACTTAGCTAATTTTAGAAGTATGCTCACAATGTTGATAAGAGTTAGTTTTTAACTTCTTTAGAAAGAATTAAAGAACAGGTGTACTGGCAGTCTGGTGTTATCATCAAGCATTTTGGCATCAGGGATCGGTTTCATAGAAGACAATATTTCCACGGACCGGAGGGGATGGTTTTGGTTTCGCTTACTTGCCCGCTGCAACCTAGTTCCTAACAGGCCACAGACCAGTATCGATCCATGACCAAGAGTGGGTGTCCACTGGCCGACGGCATTGTCTCCTGGCCCTAAGTGATTTTACTTAGTCACTTTATTAAATCTCAGTAGGATATGCAGAGTTTAATGGATTAAATTGTTCAAGCCCATAGATACTTCAGTTGATGATGATAGTGTATTATTTTGCCTGTTGTCTTTCCTTATTGTTTTAGCTATTTTCTGAGACTTTTAAAAATGTAATATGGATACAGTGTGTAAATGTGAGCTTTTCTTGATTTTTTATTATAAAAAACAAATTTAATACAAATGCTGCTATCTCTTTAATTTTATATTTTATGACATACGCTGTTTTTTACTTGCTAATCACTGGCTTTTTGGAATAGTCTTTTAAAAAGTTTCACACTCTCTTCCTTATGTCTCTTTCTTAAATATTGGAAACACACTGAGTATTATCAACTAGCTCCTATTACTATATACTTCCTCAATTATAAACTTGTTTGCATTTTTTCCAAGCAATTTGTTATCAGACTCAGAATAATGTTTGCAGAAAATATGTATTTTTACACAGTTGTTGCTTTGCAGGGGAATTTGTGATAAATTTAGCATGGGAAGTGCATGTATGTAGATTAAAATATACTTGTCTCATCAAATTTATAATTGGTGTTTTGCAAATATATGCAAACATCTTTTGTTACTTAAAATAAACAACAGATATCGGGGGGGGACGGGACTTCTTTAATATGTTTGTATTTTATGAAAGCGGAGTATGTTGAAATCTATACCACAGTCAAAATACTTCTGATTATGTTGAAGTTTCTATTCTATGGAATGTGGCTACTGAAGAAACAAGCTGTCACAAGAATTCTTTTCCACCTGCCAAAATACAACCTTAAAAATTGTACTGCATGATTAAAGAGCTAAAGCCTCTAACTGCAGGGTATTACTTGGTTCTTTTATATCATAATCTCTGGTTCATTTTAACATTTTTTCCTGCCATATCAAAAGCACATGCACACACACACACATCCCTCTGCCAAGTAATGATTAAATGCACCCACCAAAAGATAATTAACTTGTAACAGCTGTATGCAAAGTTAGCATTAAATGTTTTAAGTCTTGACATTGCTAATTTTTGTGGTATGATAGCTGCTTATGGTAGGTTGTTGTCATTGAGTAATTAATGCACATAATACCTAAACTAATCTAAGGCAACAGAAGGCTCTTCAGTCAAGTTATCCTGCCTTCCAGAACTGGAAAGAACAAATAAATCACTGTTCAAAGACAGAAAAAGAAATAAGGAAATATGATTAGTTGAAATCATGGGGAGACTCCTTTTTGGTAATTATGGGCCATATGTGATGTATTCAGGAGGGAGAGAGAGTGGGGAAAATTAGCTATGAAAAGTGGGTGAGGCTGTGCTTCCCACATTGGTAAGTATGGGAGTTCCAGGAGGGTTACTGTGTAAGCTTCAAGTTCTATCAGTACTTGTTCAGATCTATTTTTGGTTTTCCACCATCTTATCTCTAGGAAGATACTTTTAGTTCCTTCATTGTCTAAGTCCTTAATAAACCAAGGAGCCACTTGCAGGAATACTCTCTTGGCAAGAGCAGATTTTACAAGAGCGATCCTTTCCACCTCTCTAGCCATCTCTGAATTCTAGAAATGACCTTGAGACGAGATGTATTGTACACCAAATTCTCAACAAAACTCAAGCATTCACTAGAACAGGGGTCCCCAGTTCCTGGGCTGTAGCCTACTATTGGGCCTTGGCCCATTCGGAATCAGGTCATAGAAGCAGCAGGTGAGCCCACCCGTGTGCAGCTCCACCTGCGAAAACAGCAGGTAAGCGCGCACCCAGCTCTATTTGTGTGAGCGGTGGGCACATGTAACCATCCCCTCCCTGCCTCCACCGATCTGCAAAGCCAGAAAGGTTGGAGAATGCCGCTCTAGAAACTCTGGAACTACGTGGCTGATCATTTTAAAGGGTCCACACAAAGATCCAGGGTGTCCATGATCCAGTGTCTGATAAGGAAATGATTTGACTTATGACAAAGAACAAATGTCAGTGTCTTCAGATCCTGTCTAATCTGCTCTGAAACAAAGATCTGGCCCAGCCACCTGTGTTGGGATTACAATTATTTGTGACAAACTCCAATATTAATATACCATGAATTTTATCTGTGACATTTTACATTCAGAAGTTTCTGAGCTATACTCTTTGTATAGCTCAGAATTTGTGAAGTGTAGAATTAGAATTAACTTGACTATTCAAATGCCAGAATCAAATTTCCAGAGACCAACTCCCCCATGTTGAAATACTCTGTCCTCTTGCTTTGATAACCATTTTTTTTTACAAATCTATTGTAAATGTGTGTTAATTACAAGTTTGTTTATATTTTCTATATTATCCTAGTTCCTGCCTCTTACTTCTTTTCCTTTTCCACTTTGTCTGCACCAATGCCCAATTAATAAAGGCTTCTTTTTTGAATGATAAATTTGAAAATCTATTAACATGAAATTCTTTAATTCAGTCTTTTCATACTGGCTTAGAATTATTGAAATCTTACATATTCAGCATTTATGAATATGCTGGTCTGGCTGTCTAGAGTTCAGCCTGATTAGATTAGAATTAACTCTTAATCTTTGTTTATGACATGGCACTATCCTTTT